AAACAAAATCTTCGCCTACAGCACATAAAATAAATTTGTATTTCTAAACAACGTTTTTTCTATGAGCAATCTAAAAAACCAATTAAAATGTAATAAATAAACTGACCATTTTTTTTGTAAAAAAACAACAACTTCAAAGCTAAAAAATCACTAATTCATAAATTTACTATACACTTAATTTACTACAAAAAAATTAAATTGCTTCATTCTTTAAAATATTATTGTCTGAAGCTATGCTATTATAAAGCAATCCTTTTATAATCAATTAATCATTACCCCTATCGTAACAGAAAGCCAAAAAATCATTAATTTTTTTTTTGCCAACCTGACGTCGACTAAGATCAGCACGGCTAAGCTTGTATAAAATAACTTTGAAAGTTTGATCTTTTCTGAATTCTATAAAGTAAAACTCTTTTAATATAAGATAAAAACATTAATTTTATCCTTTTATTTTTTCTAGTTTCCCCTATTATTTATTTTATATTCAGCATATTTTTAAAATGCTTTAATTTTTAAAACTTGCAACGAGTGACCAAATTGTCAAATCAAAATATTATATTCATGGTCATATAAGGCGTGCCACTGATTGCTTCTCTTGAGCAGGCTTGAAATTGTATAACTTTAGCAAAAGGATTTATTGATAGTAAGTTTTCTCAAGGACAATTACTCACAGCAATTTTAACTATAATAACATTGTTTAGAACAATTCAAGCTTTATTTTTTCAATACTCTAGTGCTGATGCGTTCTATAAGTACACATTGATGGAAACATTGCAGAATAATAGCATTAATCAGCAAAAAATATATATATATTTTTTACATTAACCAAAAAAATCCCTAATTTCTGAATTTGAACAATGCTACTGTATAGCCCTGGCATATTATTAATAAATTTATACCACAAATTTAACAACAAATTTTACAAAAAACGGAAAGATATATATATTAAATTATCTGGTAAATTCATAGCTCCAATAAAATATAAAAATATGAACCATTAACTTTGGATCGCAATTGAAATTACAAGGTTAAGATAAAAAAAAACCATGGTACAAAATAAAAAGTGAAAAACCACCTATTTAGTAAATTTTTTTTTTCTTTTTAATTTAACCATATCAATTATAATTTTTTTTTTTTGTGAAGAGGATGTTTTTTACCTTCAAAAAAAAAATTATTGATCCATTAACAAAAATTTACTACGGGGGAAATTGCAGTTTTTTTTAGTTTACTGAAAGTTTGCAAAACATTTACGCTTAAGATTATATGCTTAAGAAAAGTTTATATATATATATATATATATATATATATATATATATATATATATATATATATATATATATATATATATATATGAGAGAAAAAAAGAAAAGATTGTTAATCAAATAATAATGATATATGTAATAATTATAGTTTATAATTCAGTTTAAAACAAAATTATTAAATATACTTGTTCAACAATTAAAATCTTTAAAGAAAATTTTTCAAATGGTAAATGCAATCCAAAAAGGCTTTTCAACTATATTAATTATAAAAGTTCATACTTGAAACCTATGATATTACTTTAAAGAGAGTGAATACAGGATGTGTATTTACTCTTTAAAACTAAACTTACAACTAAAATCAGTTTTCACAGAACATTAAACACAATTTACAAATTATTCTATATCGACTGCATAAGTCTTTTAGTTCTATGAAGGCATGCAAAATCATTAAAAAAAAAAACAATTATTTTTAATTCAATTTTTTAATTGATCAATCTGAATTACCAGAACCTTGGCTAAAAGTCAATATAAGCATTATAAAATAAGGCTACAGAACAGACCCAGACAATTATTTCCCACTACCTTTCACCTATTATTTGCAAAACTTTTGAGAAAATAATTATAGATAAAATCACAGAACATTTATCACATAATAATCTTATATCTGTTTACCAACATTTTATGTTTTTGGATTTAATAGGAAATGGTGCAAATAAATTTGATTTCCTGGTAAATGAAAACTAAAATATTTTTATATAAATATTTTTGTTAAAAGTAAAGCAAAGTAGAAAAGCGGTATTTTTTGTTTACGATTTTTATTTTGTCAAAGTCTATTGTTCAATGCTTTATGTAGCAAGAACATTTTTTTTTTATAAAAAGGGAAAACCCAATCTAATTTTGTAAATTGTTTAACTATGCGTTAAAATAATATTCAATCAAAATTTTTTAACAAAAAAACTTATGCTGTTTCAAGAAGTTAACATTGACCTCTCAACCATAAGTATAATGGCAAAACAACCAATGTTTTTTGTTAATATCTCATTAAATAACTTGTTTTGGTAATTTTAATAAAATCAAAACTTTGTTTCTTTGCAAAACAAACATAATTTGTCAAGGCATTTGAGAATCACTTTAAAAAAAAGATATCAAAATGTTAGAAAATTTCATAAATGCGCTTCAAAAAAAAGTCACATAATCTTAACCTTAATTACTCTTATCACTGCTATGTCAATAAATGAATCACTTGAAATCAGATCCTAACAGGATGACATTTTCTTAATGTTAATTCACCTCCCTAAAGCAATGAAGGCCACTACAGTCAAGGAGGCCACTACTTTAACTGCTGTTACAGCCCTCTCTTAACTCTATAAGTCTATAACACAAATCTCAACAAACAAGGCAACTGTGCGAAGAAACAAGATCTAATTCAAAAATATAAACTAGACAATTTAAAAAAAAAATAGTCAGGTACAAAGATCCTATAAAGACTTTGGTGCTAATTTACTTCTCTAGCTCTTATTTTTATTAATAAGTATGACAGAGAATTTTATACTGATCAAGATTCATATAAAAATTTAGACCTAAAAATTAAAGGAAAGTTCTTTAATTTGATGTTAAAGTGTTAAAGAAATAACATAAAAATGATATTTGCCATATTTTTTTGAAATTTAGAAATTCTTAATAAATTTAAGGTATGTACACGAAATAATTTACAATTATTTCGTGTACATACCTTAACTGAATTAAATAGGGAAGACACGCAAGGAGTGTACATACACTGACTCAGGGTTTGGGTAAGGGCAGGCAATAAAAATGCCAACCCTAACCCTTTCAATGTGTATGTATACTACATGTTTTCCGTACTTAAGTCAGTAAATGAATGCACTCCCTGCATGTTGCTCATTGACCAACAACAACAGAGTTTGACAGAATTAGCATAATTCTTTATCATAATTATTAATAAGAATGGGAGTTCGAAATAAATTAGCGCCAAGATTTCTTCTTGAGCTGGCTAACATTTACAATATCGAAAAAATATATACATAAAACTGTGCTTACCAGTATTAATTCTATAAAAATATAGTTGTGGTGCTACTGCAGGACCCCCCCCCCCCACACACTTTTTTTAAATTGATTATGATTATAATGATTCAGAATCATATGAAAACATAGGTCTAAAAAACCTGAGGAAAGTACTCTAATTTCATGTTAAAGGGATCTCAAACCTCTGAGACATTTTGTGTTCATATTAAAGAGAATGATAAAAAAAAAATGTTTGGGCTAAATTTTTAAAATTAAAACAAAAGAATAAATGCGTACCAAGAAAAACTAACTTTTTATTTTAGTCGAAGCTCGCCTTCACCGTTTTGTTGTAGGCTAAAAAGTCAGCATAATATATTCTGCAATCTACAGATTTGATAATTTATTCAAGCACGTTTTATTTATAAGAGTTTCAGTACATAACGTCATTGATTTTTTTGTTTGTGTAAAAGATCGATTATGTAAAAACAAAAAAGTCAATGACGCCATGTACTAAAACTCTTAGGAATAAAACACGCTTGAATAAATTATCAAGTCTGTAGAATGTGGCATATAATATACTGACTTTTTTGGAATACAACAAAATGGAGAAGCTGAGCTTCGACTAAAAGAAAAAAGTTAGTTTTTCTTGGTATGCATTTATTCTTTTATTTTAATCAAAACAATTTATCCTAAAGATTTTTTTTTTTTTAATCATTCTCTTTAATATGAATACAACATGTCTCGGAGGTTTGGGATCACTTTAAAGTTTAAAAAGTTACCATTAAAAACTATGTACATTTAATTGCACCAGTACCTATTTGTCAGTCGATGTATGTACATTTAAATTGGTTAACCCCTATTTTTCAGTCAATTTATGCACATTTAATTGCGCCAATACCTATTAGTTAGTCGATATACATTTAAAAAACTATATCCTAAAAATTATTTGTTTTTAAAATTTCAACTTCAAAAAATATGCAAACACTTAATTTAAATGAAATTTAATTTCAATGGCAATAAAAATTGGGTCGCATAATTAAAAAAAGATTTTTTAAATGATTGATTTCTAAATGCAAACTTTGGTAAAACGTTTTTAAAAAGTGACAATGTTTTAAACTTATGACCTATGTTTTTATATGACTCTTAATCTGCATAAAATTCTCTATCATAATCAATAAAAAAAAAAAAAAAAAAAAAGGGAGGGAAAAATTACAATAGTGCCTATAGTTACATCTACATGGAGTTCACTGCCAGATAATGTTATTAGGCAAACTCTTTTTAAAATTGTTAAAAATTATAAAAAAAGAGTTTGCTACATTGAACAAAAAATATTTTTAAAACTCTACGAATACTACAAAATGAAAGTGTGTGTGTTGTGCGCGTGTGTTTGAGTGAGTGAGTGTGTGTGTGTGTGTGTGTGTGTGTGTGTGTGTGTGTGTGTGTGTGTGTGTATAAGTGTACATTTTATTGCTAAAAATTAAACAAAAATAGATACCAAATGAAATTTATTTTTATTGTGTAATTTTAACAATTGTTTTTTTTTAATTTAAAAAATGTGATTACCTTTTATATTAAAGGCTTAAGATGCATTTTAAATATTTTTATTTTTAATTCAATATAAACAAATTATTTATTACAATTTTTTATATTTATTGACTATAGAGATATATAATGATCGATATATTGACTATTCCTACAAAGTAAAACCTAGGTTACCTCTGTATCTTTATCTTTATTTTTAAACAACTTTTGTCTTTCTAAAGGTTTTTGGACAGACATAGTAAAGCAAAAATATTATAGTCAAAAATAAATTGGGCTAAGACTTTTCCACACGTGCCAAAGGAGAGTCGTTATCAGCAGATAAATTCACTCGCGGTAAGGATAATTATTGCATAATAAAAATGGCAGAAAATGTTCGATCTGCGTTGATCGTTTATACAGAAAGTATACAAATGATGTCATTGGTGGTTTAGAAATTTCTTCTTTTTATTAAAAATATGTGTATATATTTATTTGACAACTTTGTAGTGTCATAGGTAAGTCGGTAACTTCCGGGTGAAACAAGTCCTTGAAAAGTTAGCTACAAAAAAAACCAACTTGAAAGTCAGTTATTGAAAATTATTGAATAAGTAAAAGCCAAACAGAAAAAGAAATATTTTTTTAACTTTAGAATCGATTTAAGGTGCAGTAGCGTATCTAACAATAAGTTAACAATTTACTTGTTGTTTCCGAGACTATTTGAGGTTGAGACGAGTCTCAATCCCAAATATATGCTCGTTTTTTCAAAGTCTTAGATCAGCATGACTAAGATATTTAATTCAAATTGTATTTCAAATATTGTATATTTGATTATTATTAGTTTTTTAAATTCTATTTATATCTTATTTTTTTACTCCATGGTAATGGCAAAATACACTTCCGTTTAAAATAAGTTATCTATTAAAAATACTGTAAAGATAAATGTAAAACTACTTAGCATTATTTGAAAATATTATAAAAAATTTAAAAAGTTACATTATGTCGTTATAGAGTGCAAGTAGAAGACTGAGATGATTCTTATAATCGAGAACCTTGAATGATTTCACAAATTACGCATAAACATTTTGATTCTCATACACAAATATTTAATTGGTTATTTTCGTAATCTTTAAAAAAAAAATGATATGTATGTGTTCGTGTATTAATAATGTTAATATTGTTGTTGTTGTTTATATATATAAACTACTTTTTTTATATATATATCTGTTGCTTGTTTAATTATGAACTTAAATTTTAGTTTTTACTTTGAATTATCTTAAAAGCTATAACATTTTAGAATAATTATCTATATTAAGAACAAGATTTTTGAGTATTGTTTTTTAAAGATAATAGTCTGAAGGAGTAATTAAGATGTGTTTCTGAATTTATTTGTTATATAAATGGTGAACGACATATGAGATTGAAAAATGAGAAATTTTATTTGCTTTCCAGGGTACGATAAAGTTACAAGTTGCTCTTGAGTTAAATATATTGGTATTATTAGGCCGGGTGAATAAAAAAAGCAATTCCGTTTTTAGAGTAATTGTTCAGCTTTACGTGAAAAATTTTTAAGCAAACTCGTTCAAATTTTTATTCGCGTAAAGGTAAGCAATTAACACCAAAAATGAAAAGTTCAGCTTTAAGTTAATAAAAGTTTAAGCGAAATTTTGAAAAGTTTTTTTTTTTTTTATGTAAAGCTGACCAATTACTAAGTAAAAGCAATTGCTTTTTTTCATTCACCTATTATGAAAAAAGTTTTATGTAAACCGTCGAGAAACTCATTTTGTGTTTTAGTATGAATATTTTGTTACCATAGATACTAATGAGGTAAAATGAGGTTGAAAGTTAATAGCAGCCGTGGCGCAGTGGTCTCAGAAACGTAAGATCCGTGGTTCGAACCCCACCTTTGGACGAGTTTTGCGACATCGGTTGGGAAGGAGGCGCGAACTACTTATTAAATGCTCTTCCGCGGTGCTCTGTGATAAGACCGTAAGGACTTCTTGGGGCACCTTAATCAACTTAAAAAAAATATATATATATATATATATATATATATATATATATATATATATATATATATATATATATATATATATATATATATATATATATATATTGAGCACTTTAACAGGGGTTTAGCATGGGTAAGTTTGTTATTACGATCTTTTTGTAATAATCAGGTTGTATTCAATGGAATGCATAATCGGGTCATATCAGAGGAAGTTCTAACTACGCAAATATGTTTTGCAAAATTTTTTTTTGCAAATCTCTTCAAAAAATATTTACTAAACAAACTATGATTTACATAATTATATTTAGTGGAGGCTCAGCAAAGATCTTTAAATGATTGTCAACCCTGTCAGTTTTTTCAGGTAAAAAAATCCACTGTAAAATTGTTTTTAATATTTTTGTAAAAAATAGATTAGTGTTTTTTTGATTACCAGTACTAATAAATTAATTCTTTTATTAAATTTAATTAAATCAGTCAATTAACAGTTAAAAATTTGCTCAAACTAACTTCATAGGCTTTTTTCATTAAACAGCATACAATTGCTAAACAACGACAACTATTTTTGAAAAAAATGTAATTTACTTGGGAATGGAAACTTTTTTCATAAGACCTACTATTTTCTTTGTAAAATAAAAAGAAAGCAATGTATTGAAAGTAGAAAAAAGAAGGTCCTTCAGAAGAAAATTGGGGCATACAAAATAAAATCTTTTGATCTTAAATAAAAGACGAAAGAATTTTGTGTGAAATGAAGAAATATCAAAGTTATTAATAAGAATATTGAAAAATCATAACCTGAAAACTATTGGTTTGGCCAGACGCAAAAATAAATTAGCACGAGCATGAACAGATGTCGTATTTGCATTTTTTTGGTTTGGTGTCACTCCTCTATGTAAAGTCATGATGGTGTCACCCGGTGTGGCCCACACCCTCTAGTGACGCCACTGCCACAACGCGCGTGCGTACTGTTCGTTTCACCATGGTTTTATTATTCGTTAAAATCCAGTTTCAAAGTTCAAGAATCTAAATAAATTTATTTTTTTAACGATTGCTAAACAAATAATTCCTATTGGACATTATGAATTAACGATTTTTATAACTCTTTCTAGACATTATTAATGTTTGAAACACAAACAATTAACATTAAAAATTCCTTTTGGGTATCTAAGTACATGATTGGAAGTTTATTACAAATTTATTAGCGCTGCTTGTTAACCAAATAGTAAGCAAATAGTGCGTTTAACAAATAGTACTATTCGCTCATCGAATAGTTCGTCATAAGCAATCAATGTATTGCAAATAAAAGACAGAAGTTTAGAAAAATTCGTTAACAATATTTAGAGTTTATTGTTATTTTTTTATGTTGTGCTTTTTAAATGACTAAATGATAAACTTAAATGATAAATTTTTAGATTAGAATTGAATTAATAAATGTCTATAGACATTTATTAATTGAATTAATAAATGTCTATAGACATTTATTAATTCAATTCTAATCTAAAAATTTATTTTACAAAAATGTATTTTATATCTCTATATTTAAAAAATAGCAATTTGTTTTTTAAATCCAGCAAAAATACAACAACACAAAATAAAATCTAGAGAGATACAAGAAGTTCCTTGTCGAAAGAACGTACCAAACTTTTAACTAAACGGAGAAACAAAAGATAAGTTTAAACAAGTGGTAGAGATTGCCTAAAACTTTGATATTTATACAAATTATTTATACTTTATTGTTCAAAAAACCTATAAAAATTTATACTTTTTGATAGTTTAAACAGTGTTTGTATTTATTTCTTTGAATACCTAAAATTGCAATATAGTTATTGCAAAATATCTTTGTTATTATATTTTTTAATTTTAAATATCAATATTTTATTATATTAAAGGGCTCTTTGAAAAGGTTGAGGTGATATTGCATCATCCATATCTTCTTTGAGTTTGCTCTTTTTAAAATATTTTATTTACTGATATTTACCATATAAAACTTATCTGTAATTTATTTTAACAGCGAAATATAAAATGAAAATGAAATGAAAAACAGTTGTTCAAGAGAGTAATCTATTTTGATTTTTCGAAGGCTACAAACTACATTTCAAAATTTTCTTTTTTCAACAAACAAAAATTCAAAAAATGACAACTTTACGTAGACCGTGATTTTTGTGACGATTATTTCTTAATAGTTTAAACAGTTGTTTAAGAGAGTAATTCATTTTGATTATTCAAAGGCTACAAACTACATTTCAAAAATTTTTTTTTTAACGAAAAGGCGCCATTTCGACTTGCCGCTGGAATAATTATACTTTTGCTTTACTTTTAATTTATGGCATTTAAAATCATCTTTGCTAGACAGCAGAGAGTATTTTGGATGAATGAATAAGGTTTGGGTTAGGGTTCTCATATAAAGTTAAGGAAAAACCTTTAATCTTTAGAAGCAAAAAATGCCAGAGCAGCTGAACAACTTGCATCTCAAGTTTTTTTCAATAAAGAATTATCTCCTGAAAAAACAATTCGACTTGCTAAAGCAGCTTTTGGGGTAATTGTCAGTGGATCCATTTACCCAGGTAAATATTCATACTTAAATATTTTTTACATATATATTCAAAGAAATCTTTAAAGTAAGAGACAATATAGGTTTTGGAAAGTAAATTTTTAACAAATTTCTAATCACTTTAAAACCGAATAATTTGAATGTTTTAAACCAACTTTCAGAATAAAGTTTCATATAAAAATAAAATATGTATATTTTGGTTTCACGTCAAGGTAGTGCCCAGTCACTTTCAAGCTCTCCAAAATTGACCCACTCTAGCTCTTGTAAATGTATAATTAAATACGAGACTATCAAACAACGGATTAATGAAACTAGTCAGAACTGTAAACCAAACATCAAGCAGCAAGATGTGAGCCAAATTTTATAAGAATTTCTAAATATCAGGTCAACACTTGAGTGATTTCTTCACCTGAAGTGACTTAAAAATTACAGAGGGAAAAGGAGATTCAAGTAGTTTTGGGTTATTGCGCACTGCTATGAAATTGCAAATTCTTGTTGCAGAAACTCATTCCAACATTGAACAAATCTGGTCACTGATTAATGCAATTGGAGTTAAACTACTTTTGGCTTACGCAAAAGTTGCAAATACAGTTTGTGGTCCTCAAACCCATTCAAGTATGCACCCTTGTACATGGTGTGACGTCAAATCCAAGTGTCTTGCTAAATCTGGAAAATCACGAACAATGGGCTCAATCAAATCTAGCCTCGAGTTTTTTCATCAATCTGGTGGGGTTGATGATTGTGCTAA